CAGAATGTAAGTCAGTGTCTTTCAATGCATTTAAGGTCTACATTGCAAATCGCTTTAGGCTGTGTGTGCTACCAGAGTCCACCTGGCCCAAGTGGTGAGCCAGGTGATCCAGGAGAAGATGGCGAAAAAGGAAAGGACGGTGATCCTGGCCCAGCTGGCAAAAGCGGCAAAATTTTGCCGCCTCAGGAACATCCGCCTGAACACTGTCAAATTTGCATTGCGGGCACTGCTGGGCCTCCGGGTGATGAAGGTCCTAAGGGACCAAAGGGAATGAAAGGACGTCGAGGTGCAGATGGAAAGGATGGCGCTAAAGGAATGGCTGGCATGGCTGGAGCTCCGGGATCTCCTGGACCTGCAGGAGACTGCGGAGTGAAAGGCGTTACTGGAGAAACTGGGAAGATTATTAACGTAAAAATAACCACAGATTTACATCTGCTTGAACTAAATTTTGCCGTTAGGTTGTGGGTCCGGCCGGGCAAACGGGAGCCGTCGGAGAAACCGGACCAGTTGGCCCACAAGGACTGCCAGGAAAAGACGGACTTGACGGAATCAAAGGAGAAACTGGCGATCAAGGTGAACCTGGCGCTGCTGGCCCTGTCGGCCCGATGGGCATCGAAGGTGCGAAAGGAGTCACCGGCAGGTCCGGCAATGTTGGCGACTGCGACCATTGCGCGCCAGCACGCACAGAGCCCGGATACTAACTTTACGAAGGACAGTGGTTGTGTTTATATTAGCCTAGTAAATTTTCGTATCACCCTTGCATACGTGATGCCTATGTGATGCAATCATACGGTAATGGCGGCAACAACCGAAGGTATTGAGATGTTTCAGAAGTATTTGTTTTTTCTTGTACAATATGCATGTTGACAGATTAAGCACCAGCAAGAATGTGGCTTCTTAAATTCTCGGAGCAATAAATTACTTCCGCATGTTCTAACACAAACTGTTAAAAATGAATGAAAGTTCGTCACCCGCTCTATCTCTTTACCTCACACTTACTGCTTATAGAATGATTAAATACACGTCAGCAAAACTACTGCAGAAATCTCTCAGACGATTGATAAGACTAAAATGGAACCGACAATAAATTCTGTTGTTCAACCTCTTCCTGTCCAATTGCATTGAAGACGACATCAGGTGCAGCATAGGCATTTCATCTGGATGGAATAAATTCGTGCTTACTCGTCAGGCGTTTGAATGACATGTCTGCACTGGCGAGATTTCCCCTTCCCGCGGTCGCCTGCCACGAGGCTTCGCATTCAGCATCGCTTCGAAAAATGGCAATCCTCCATCCGTTGGCAATGGCCCCATTATCGTAAAGGCATTGTTTGCAGTCAGTCGGTCACTTTAGTTTCACATTCAAGTATATCTCTTACAACAGTATTTAACGCCAGGTCGTGTCACTTCACTCCTCATACTGATCTTAAAATTTTCATGTCCGTCGCTTCCAGCTTTTAGCGGTGTTAAGTGCCACTGTTTCCAAACCATGGAACGAGATGAATAGAATGCAAACCATGCATACCCGCTGGTTAGTGCTACTGTCAACATATTTGCCCCTCCACTGTTTGAATAACTTGCTGTTCATTTCCAATGCTAAAGCTGAGCGCGTCATAGCATAGGTTTGTCACCTGTCCGTCAATGACGAAATGTACTCCCAAGATGTAAATGCTCTGGTGCCACAAGTTCAATAAATTTCGTATCAAGGCCAGACAGTTTTTCGTCTAGGTTCTACCAATTTTCGTAACACTCATCATCATTAAGTCAATCGAGAGACTAAAATCAGAACCCCTCTGTTTCAGAGTTAGGAACAGTGATGTCACACCTTTAAAATCGTCTTTAGACAATACAACGTCATCGATAAATACAAGAGAGTTCATGTAGATGCTGCCCATCCTTACGCCGTAGCTTCACTCCTTCTTATTGGTTGGAACACTCAGTCAAAAAACATCGCAAACAGCAGTGGATTCCACACCTTTTGGCGTTACTCCAAACCTTGTACGAAAGAATGACTGGCACCTGCCATCATTTCGCACTGCACATGATCAAAGATCATACATAGTTTTAATTATGCTAATAATCCTTGGTGGGATTCCTTAACGTTCATCAACTTTCTGCAAGGCATCTTTCAAGATTGAGTCAAACGATT